CAATGGGGGGATCATCCAGACAGAAAATCAATAAGGAAATGCTGGCTTTAAACAACACATTAGACCGGATGGACTTAACAGATATATACAGAAATTCTATCCAAAAATGGTAGAATACACATTCTTTCAAGTGTAGATGGAACATTCTCCAGAAGAGATCACATGTTAGGACACAAAACATGTCTCAATAAATTTAACAAGACTGACATTATATCAAGGATCTTTTCCAAACATGACAGGATGAAATTAGAAATAAATTACAAGAAAAAAAAACAAACAAACAAGTGGATGCCAAACAACATGCTAGTAAACAACCAGTGGGTCTCCAAAGAAATCAAAGAGCAAATCAAAAAATACATGGGGACAATTGAAGACAGAAACACATTGGATCAAAATCTTTGGGACATAGCAAAAGCAGTTTTAAGAGGGAAGTTGAGAGAGGAAAAAAGCCTATCTCAAGAAACCACAAAAATCTCAAAAAATAAAAAAAACAATCTAATGTTATGCCTAAAGAAACTAGAAAAAGAACAAACAAAGCTAGTAAGTTAGTAAAAGGAAGTAATAAAGATGAGAGTGAAATAAATGAAATAGAGACTAAAAATAGAGTAGAAAAGATTATCAAAATTAAAATCAGGGTCTTTGGAAAGGTAAACAAAATTGACAGCCAGATTCATCAAGGAAAAAAAAAAGAGGGGGACACAAATGGATAAAATCAGAAATGAAAGAGGAGAAATAACCAACACCACAGAAATACAAAGAATTATAAGAGACTACTATGAAAAATTATACACCCTCATTTGGACATCCTAAAAGAAATGGAGAAATTCCTAGAAATATATACTCTTCCTATACTGAATAAGGAAAATGGGAAATCGGAAAAGACTGATTACTATCCATGAAATTGAATCAGTAATAAAAAAATTCCCAACAAAAAAAATTCCATAACCAGGTGGCTTCACAGGTTAATTCTACCAAACATATAAAGAAGAATTAATATCTATCCTTCTCAAACTATCCCAAAAAATTTAAAGAGGAAGGAAAGCTTCCTAATTCATTCTACAAAACCATCATTACCCTGATACAAAACAAACAAACAAAAAAAAACAGATAAAAACACTCTTAAAAAAGAAAATTACTAAGAGGCTAATTTCTCTGATGAACATAGGTGCAAAATCCTCAACAAAATATTATCAAACCAAATAAATTATACATTAAGGATCATTCACCACAATCAAGTGGGATCTATTTCAGGGATGCAAGGATGATTCAATATCCACAAATCAATATACATGATATACCACATTAACATAATGAGGAATAAAAATCTTATCATCTCAATAGATGCAGATAAAGCACTTGATGAAATTCAACATCACTTAATAAAAACTCTCAAAAAAGTGGGTTTAAAGGTAACATTCCTCTACATAGTAAAGGCCACATATGACAAACCCACAGCTAATATCATACTTGATGGTAAAAAGCAGAAAGCTTTTCCACTAAGATCAGGAATGAGACAAGCATATCCAATCTTGCCAGTTTTATTCAACATAGTACTAAAAATCTTAGCTTCAACAATCAGACAAAAAAAAAATCCAAATTGTTATGGAAGAAGTAAAACTGTCACTATTTGCAAATGACATGATACTATATATAAGACCCGAAAGACTAGACCCAAAATGCTGTTAGCATTACAAAATGAATTAAGTAATGTTGCAAGATAGAAAATAAAGAAAAATCCATTGCATTTCTATACAGTAATAACAAAGAGGAAGAAAGAAAAATGAAGTAAGCAACCCCATTTACAATTGCATCGATAAGAATAAAATGCCTAGGAATAAATTTAACCAAGCAGGAAAGACATGCAGTTTGAAATTTGTAAGATGTTAATTAAAGAAACTGAAGATGACAAAAAGAAATGGAAAGCTATATCATGCTTATGGATTAGAAGAATTGATATCATTAAAATGTTCATATAAGCCATAATAATCTAAAGATTCAATGCAATCCTTATCAAAATACCAACAGCATTTTTCACATAACTACAACAAACAATGCTAAAATTTGTAGGGAGGTATATAGCACCCTGAATAGCCAAAGCAATCTTGAGAAAGAAAAACAAAGCTGGAGGTATCACAATCCCAGATTCCAAAATATATTACAAAACTAAAGTAACTAAACCAGTATGGTTCTGGCACAAAAATAGACACATAGATCAGAACAGGATAGAGGGCCCTGAAATAAACGCATCGTTTCATGGTCAATTCATCTATGACAAAGGACATCAGAATATATAAAAGAAGTCAAGAATATACAAGAGGGAAAAGACCGTCTGTTTAATAAATGGTGCTGGGAAAACTGGACAGCCACATGCAAAAGAATGAAACTAGGCCACTATCTTTACACCATACACACAAATAAACTCAAAATGGATTAAAAACATAAATATGAGACCTGACACCATAAAACTCAATATAAAACATAGGCAGTAATCTCTTAGACACTGGCCTTAGCAATATTTTTCTATACTTATCTCCTCAGGCACAGAGAACAAAACTGTAATTAAACTATTGGAACTACACCAACATAAAAAGCTTTGGCACAGTGAAGGAAACTAACAGAACAAAAAGGCGTCCTACTGAATGGGAGAAGATATTTGCAAATGATGCATCAGATAAGGAGATAACATCTAAAATATATTAAAAACTTAAACACACTTTAACACCAAAAAAATCCAATTACAAATAGGAAGAGAACCTGAATAGACATGTTTTTTTAAAGAAGACACACAGATGGCCAACAGACACATGAAAAGATACTCAGTATGAGTGATCATCAGGGAAATACAAATCACAACCACAATGAGATATTGGCTCACACCTGTCAGAATGGCTAGTATCAAAAAGACAACAAGTGCTAGTGAGGATGTGGAGAAAAAGCAACCCTCATATACTGTTGTTGGAAATGTAAATTGATGCAGCCACTGTGGAAAACTGTATGGAATTTCCTCAAAAAATTAGAAGTCAGATAAAGGGCTAATATCCAAAATCTATAAAGAACTTATCAAACTCAACACCCAAAGAACAAATAATCCAATCAAGAAATGGGCAGAAGACATGAACA